TACTGTTAAGCCACTGAGATTTCAGGGCTTCCTTGGTACCGGATCCTAGCCTGGCTCATCCTGATACATTGAAATCCAGTTCTAGTCAGTGAGATCCAAGGGAAGTGTACTGTCCATGGCTATTTCCACTTGCAACACATTTCTTTTCATTGCTGAAAAGGAGAGAAACATATAAGGAGTGCTCATTCATTGCCCTGGCCAGCTGTCGGTTTCTCAGTTTTGCAGAGAAAAAAAAAAAGAGTCTCATTAGATTGTGATGCTGGTAATTGCAATATCCATTATGTGAGCATGAGTAGGGAACAGAGGGTTACACAGAGCCTTCAGGTTGTGAAATTGCTGGTCTAAACTAGGATTGTTTGATTCCAGACTTCTTTTTTTAACAAACAATAAGTGCCCTGATGGTGTCAGGCTTTTCTGTTATTTGTATCTGAATGCACCTGCCCTCATACTGTTACAAAGAGAATGAGAAGTGTGGTTATAATGGATGAATAAAATGAACAGTTGTTTGTGGGGGTAGGTAATGTCACTGTCATCTCTTGTCTTCATCCTCATTCACAATATAATCATTGCTGAAAGATAAAAATAGTCCTGGACAGTATTTCCTTGCCTGTGATGTGCATTCACGTGTATTTTCTGGCTCATATGTGATATACAAGTGGCAGCATAATGTAGGAGATAACAGTTCTGTCTCTATAGGCACACAAACTTGGGTTCAGATGCTAGCTCTGTCGATCTCTTTGATGTGTGACCTTGGACAACCGACAAACTCCCTAAACCATGGTTTCCTCATCTATATGATGGAACAGTTCTGGAAACTCACAGGTAGTGTCACTGCGAGGAGAAAATGACACGACACAGGAAGTTCATAAGCATATTGTGTGGGACACTAAAAATGCTTAATATACAGGATTCCCTAAAATAGGTTGTATTTTGATTTGTATGATAGCCTAGAAAGATGGATGGGGCACACACAAACATTCTCATTTTACAGTGGAGGAAGCTGAGTCTTAGAGTTGAAATGAAATGAAACCTTGCTCAAGTTCAGAAACAGATTTTCATCCCAAGTCCAGTGATTCCCATTTCAGGGCTCTTGCCATAGTAACATGTTTCCTTGAAACTGCCAAATATGCTGTCGTGTCTGACTCTTTGTGGCCCCATGGACTATAGCATGTCAAGCTCCTCAGTCCATGGAATTTTTCCAGAAATGGAACGAGTTGCCATTTCGCACTCTAGGGGATCCTCCTGACCCAAGGACTGAACCTGTCTCTTGCGTCTCCTACACTGGCAGGTGGATTATTTACCACTAGTGCCTCCTGGAAATTGCAAAGAAGCAATACAAAATAAAATTTAAATTCTGAGCTGCTTCCTTTTTGATCTCCAATAAAACAGAATCATTTTCTTTAGAAGAGTTATTACTGTAGTTATTACTGTATTATGTGCAAATGTGAGAGACTTTTAAGTTTGTACTGGAAATAACATACTCAAAAAGTTTTTTCTTTTTTAAAAAAATTTATTTCTCTTTGGCTGTGCCGGGCCTTCATTCATGCATGGGCTTTTTAGTTGCAGTGAGTGGGAGCTACTATTTGTTGTGGTGTGCAGCCTTCTCCTTGTGGTGACTTCTCGTTTCAGGACACAGGCTCTAAGGCACTCAGGCTTCAACAATTGTGGCATAGGGTCTTAGTTGCCACACAGCATGTGGGATTGAACCTGCGTCTCCTGCATGGCAGTTGGATTCTTTACCACTGAGCCACCAGGGAAGCCCTCAAGGTTTTTTATTAATCCTCTCGTCTCAGTTCCACCCACCACCATTTATCTCCACTTTATAAAGATTGAGTGAAAATACACATCTTCCTAATCTATGCAAGGTGGCATAAGTACCATTCTACAAAATCTGTAAATCACACAGCAAAGCTGACTTTTTTCTTTCTCCTTCATTAAAACCTTTATTTATTATCTCCTCTGATATTTAACATTCAAAACAGTTTACTTTCTGTATCTTTGTCACAACATGTCTTTCAACATCAAGTTAATAAGATACAAAGGAACACCTTTCACCTTATCACAATCTGGATCTACACCTCTGCCCTTTGTCATCAGAAAGTGACCACTCTAACACAGGCCATGTTTTCCTTTAAGCAATGTTGAATGATTCACTCTCAACATAAGTCTAGAAATAAACACTGTTAAAACTTGAATATTATGTTTCCTTGAACCTGGCTTAGTCATCGCTGCTTTCATAAAGCCTCTCCTCTCTCACCCGTGGGTGATCTCTAACGAGGCACTGACCTCACTTGTGCTATCATTCATTGGTCACTCTTGATGTCCACCTGTCTTGGCTCTTCTAAGGTGGTTCCTGCTGTACCCTCTCTCCACCTCTAGTGCCTGGCACCACACCTTGTCCATTGCAGATGGGTTAAATATTTGCTGAACCAAGTGAGGAAACCTGTGCTTGGTATATCCCCTAAAAGAGGTGAGACTACTTCAAGGGCTTCCCCGGTATCTCAGTGGTAAAGAATCTGCCTGCCAATGCAGGAGACGCAGGTTGGACCCACCCCAGTATTCTTGCCTGGGAAATCCCATGGACAGAGGAAATTCACAGGCTATATAGTCCATGGGGTTGCAGAGTTGGCCATGACTCAGCGATTAAATAACCACCTTAGGGCAATTTTGGGGCTTCCTTCGTTGTTCAGACAGTTAAGAATCTGCCTGCAATGCAGGAGACTGGGGTTCAATCCCTCAGTCAGGAAGATCTCCTGGAAGGAAATGGCAACCCACTCCAGTATTCTTGCCTGGAGAATTCCATGGACAGAGGTACATGGCATGCTACAATCCATGGGGTCGCAAAGAGTTGGGCATGACTGAGAGACTAACACGCACACACACTTATCTGTAATACTTGTTAAACTGTCATAGTGGAAGATTTGTTGGTCCTTGGGTTAAATCAATACAGTGTGTCTGGCAAGCAAGAAAGTGAAGGTTATTGTCAGGTGTTAATTCATTGTCATACAGGTGCATGCCATTCCTTTCTCTGTTGCTTGGTTTGAGAGACACAACTTTAATCTGAATCTGAGTGCTCATGTCTACTTGTGGACCATAGGATGTGCCCTAGGGCTCAGCCTTCCCTGCCCCTTTCTCCATTATCTCTTCAGATCCTGGGCAAAACCCTAGCTTGAACCTACCTTTTACCTTGGGTGTCACCACTAGATTGGGGGTTTCCCTGGTAGCTCAGCTTGTAAAGAATCCACCTGCAATGCAGGAGACCTGGGTTCAATCCCCTGGGTTGGGAAGATCCCCTGGAGGAGGACATGGCAACTCACTTCAGTATTCTTGCCTGGAGAATCCCGATAGACAGAGGAGACTGGTGGGCTATAGTCCATGGGGTCGCAAAGAGTCAGACATGACTGAGTGACTAAGTACAGCACAGCATGCAATAGATTGTATTCTTCAGTGTCTTACTCATGTTTCCCACTCAACCACCCAAAGCCAAAAAATGTTAGGTTCACAGCAGAGAGCACAGCACAAACAATAAGGCAAATAAAGAGAAACAGACCAACAAATACTGGATTTGCCTTAGAAGGCAGAGCACTGGGGAATCTTGGAAAGAGTAATTTTGCAGGAATTATTTCATACAAGCCGAAATGGAAGTGGCTCTAACAACCACTCCCATTGGGAGTCAGGGCCTCCCTCATGTTCCTACTAACCTGCTAAACAACTTGGGTAAGTCACACCCCTCTCGGGGGCTCTGTATCATCAGGGAGTCAAGGTTGGGCTAGTTCAGTAGTTCTGTCTTCAGCGATACACCAAAACGCATCTAGAGAACTCATTGATAAAGTACATTTCATGCTTCCCACCCCCCAGAAACCCTGATTTGGACCACAAAGAAGGCTGAGCACCAAAGAACTGATGTTTTCGAACTGTGGTGTTGAAGAAGACTTTAGGGTCCCTTGGACTGCAAGAAGATCAAACAAACCAATCCTAAAGGAAATCATTTCACACTGTATGTTTATCTGTAACTCTCTGTCACCCTTCTCGGGACAGAAATCTTAAAATACCTGTCTATATACATATACTCTCCTCATAGCAAAATTTATTAAATAACTCTTTATTCTTTTCTCCTTTACATTACCAACAGTAGCCCAGTGTTAAGCACTTTAGAAAACCTGAAGAAATTTTTAAAAAATCTTGGTTTATGCATACATGTATAAAAATATTCAGATAAGCAAATATCTGCTCATTACATCACCCAGCTTTTAAGAGTGCCAAAAATAAATAAATAAAACATTTGCATATCAAAAGAGAGGGCTCGGTGGTTTTGCTAAAATTCATCTTAACAATTTTAGCTAACTAACATGTGCTGATGAAATTCAAGTTAAAAGTATAGCCAGTTAATATCACAGAAAACACCGTGTGGCAAGTAAGGAGTATTCCTTAAACAGAATCTGCTTTGTGCTTCAAACACAGCTAGGTCTACAGTTTCAACAGTAAGCAGCAATAAAGATGAAGAAAATGCCCAACTTTTCTAATAACTGCTCTATCATAGAAAGGAAATAAAAATGAAAAGAAAAAAGTATCACCATCTCTTCACAAAGGACATCAAAGTCAGAATGGCAGGCTTATGAAGTGCTTGGATTAAAAAATAGTAACAATAAAGATCCCTGGTTAATTGATTTTGATATTTTAGAAATCCAAAAAACATAAAATATTTGCTTGTCGGTGTAATAGATTTGACCTACAAGCAATAACCTGAACTATGTTTTCTTCATCAAGTACTTTAACAGTGCAAAATGTTGGTGGTCTCAGCATTCAATGCTCGGAAATGCAAAGCAGGCAAAAAAAACAAAAACAAAAACAAAACACAATGATTCACCGCTTTGCTGGAGTCTTAAAGGTAGACAGGCAGTTTCTGATGTGAGGTGAAATAAGCAATCCAAAATGTCCACTAGCTAACATAAGATACAGTATTGAATCTTTTGACACAAAAACAAAGAATAATCACATTACTACTTGGAACAGTATTCAACGTGGACGAGTAGATCTCGGTGTTCGGTGGCTGGATATTGGATATTGCACTTAGGACATTCCACCAGGCTTTCATTTAATGCAGCAGTGGGACTTTTTGGTGAGGCAACTTTTCCTCTGTTTTCAGTCTCCTTTTGGAAAGTGACTAATGGCTCTGTGAAGGCAAACTCGCGAATCTGCTTCTGAAAAATAAGTGTCAAATGAACATGGTTTGTATAGATGGTCTACCATTCAGCAGCTGTAACTGCTCCATAGATACTCCAGTTGCTTCAGCCCTCTAGCTAGATTTTCTTCTGAATCTCTCCAGTCACTGGTATTACACTGGTAACTTAACACGAAGTGGTTACGCATGCATGCTAAGTCGCTTGAGTTGTGTCCAACTCTTTGTGACCCTACGGACTGTAGCCTACCAGGATTCTCTGTCTATGGGATTCTCCAGGCCAAGAATACTGGAGTGGGTTGCCATGCCCTTATAAAGAGGATCTTCCCTACCCAGAGATCAAACCCACATCTCTTATGTCTCCTGCGTTGGTGGATTCTTTACCACTAGCATCACCTGGGAAGCCTTATGAGGTTGTTATAAATCACTGAAATTACCCAGGAAATACTAGGATCAGGCGTTTACGTAGCAGGTTTTATTAAAATGCTTAGTCACATGTAAAGGTAGGACTATGGGCAATACTGACAAAGATTGCTAGGTTAAAGATGGGCAACTTCAGCAATAAAGAACTGTATGGAATTAAGAGCAGCAAAAAATCTTAGCAGGTCAAACAGATTATACACAGGAACGACTAAGATACTATATAATTCATTTGTGATATCTCATTTTCATGTTTTTTTCCCTGAGAAATTTACAACCGTCAGTAAAGCTAAAAATGAACATTTTACAGCATACTGTGAAAATGAATGGTAGAAAACAAAGAAAAATACAGGAAAATTATGGATTCATTTGTACACTCTTTGGCTTCCTGTACTTTGATAAACAGTCATAAATAAGAATGAATTCTAAATTTCAATTTTAAATATTATGGTAAAAATCAATGACATAAACAGAGCCAAAAATTTATTTTCTGTCTTTTATTCATAAAGAAATTGCAAATGATTTTAAAAACTGCTTTTTTCTCTTTCGAAAACTGAGGAATTCTATTTGTGACATTTCATCCTGTGCAAATATTCTGCAATACAAGGATCATATACAAAATATGGGCTAATGGAACAGACCCTAACAGGTTTGGTCCAGAGCTTACTGTGTGGTTCTTTAGCTTCTAATTTGTGTCTGACTCTTCTGCAGCTCCATGTGCAGAAGCCCACAAGGCTCCTCTGTCCATAGGATTTCCCAAGCAAGAATACTAGAGTGGGTTGCCATTTCCTTCTCCAGGGGATCTTCCCCACCAGGAATCAAATGATCTCCTGCATTGGCAGGTGGATTCTTTACTACTGAGCCATCAGGGAAGTCCCTCAAAGCTTATTAGTAGAATGAAAATAGGTAAATCAAAACCATTTCCTCATAGAAGCAATAAAAAGGTTAATGTTTTAAAAGGTTATGTATTCAAGGTAATCCACAGAATATGCTTATATCAGTATGCCTACATGAATGTATTAACAGTAAAAGTCCACTAGCCCTAAAAGCAACAATTTTTTTCTTTCTTTTTTTTTTTAAAGAGAAAAGCACAACTTCAGTTCAGGATCTAAAACTGCCCTGCCTTGCTCCCTTTGTCCCCCAGGCCAAGCTCTGTTCAGTGCCTCTAGAATTACAGAGCCCAGAGTGGGTGGAGATGATCCCAGGCGCTGGTAATGTTATCATTACCAAGAGGCTGGTAATGTCCCTCTGTCTAGTACTTTGAACTGATACTCAAAGGGCAGATGCTTCAAATGAGGCAAGGCATTTGATTTGACTAATTTAAGAAACAGCTATTCTTAAACTGTATCCTCCTATTTTTGGGAACTGCTTTGACATATAAATAGAAAGATGGCAGAAAAAGAAAGATGAAATAAGTTTTTGTTTAACCATTCCAGACTCACCAAGGATTCCAACTGTGTTATTTGATTTCTTGCTTTGCGGAGCTCCTTAAGAATTACATGCAATTGATGTTGCATATTTTGACGGTCAAGTTTTTCATTTTCAAAGTCTAAAGTACATGCCTGCATCTGGAAAAAAGTGCCCAAGATAAGACAATGACAGCTACTGTATACTGTCTAGTTTTTCTGACTGAATGTTTCTTTAGTATCACAAGAAAAAAACATGTTGTGCCATCAGAGCAAGAACTCCTCTGAGCACAGGTAGATGTTGATAAATGAAGAAACTCTCCAAGGAGCAAAGCCAAAGCATGACGTCTAAGTGAGTGAGGAACAGCTTAAGAAGTTGCTGGTTAGAATCTGTCCTCCTCATCCTCCTTTTTGTGGGGAAGGGAAGGAGATGGCTGTTCCCTGGTTTCGAATATACTAAAAATCTCTGGTCTCTGAGAGTAACTGGTCTCTCTTTGAGTTCTACTTGAAGTTATCAAGTAGTTCTATTAGGAACATCCTGTCAGACTACCAGCCATTTAGGGAAGAAGAAAGTTTGCTAAGGCAAACATCTATCCGTCAAGAAAATTGCCATGTCACCTTAGAGAATTTGGTTTAGCCTAAAGATAATAATGGGAACATATGGCTGGTGTAAGTCGTCACTTTCAATACTTTTGTTAAGTTTAAAAAAAAACATTTTATAGAACTTACAAATGGTTCTTCATACAACAGTGTAAACATGAGGAAAAATTCCAGTTTCTCAAAAGTTAAACTGAATTTAGAAGAAACCCTCATGAGTACCTGTTGTTCCAACAGAGCTACCCTTGTTTGTTCCTCCTCCTGCTTCATCAGAGACGTGTAAAGAAACTGGACCTGTAGGATGTAAATAGAACCAACACTGTCGCATCAACTTTTTATAGCTTGACCTTGACCCAGGATGCATGAAAGGCTTGCAAATGTCACATCTCTAACCAGGGCAACACCTGCTCTTCTGGGCGAGCCCTTCCAGCTGTGGTTGGACAGCTATCTGTGCAAGCAGCTGAGCAGTACCACCGGGCTGAGTTCCCTGAGACACAGACTGAATGTAGACAGAAAGCGCTAAGTCAGAGTAGACAAGCAGGTCTTAACATTCACTGATATTTCTGAGTAGGATAACAAAGCTGGCAGAGCTTGGCCTTCTCAGCCACAGAGTTGGAGCCAAATTTTCAATCATCTCTGCTTAATCTTTTGTAAATATCACTGCTCACACCTCTAGGCAGAAGTGAGCATGGTAAAGACTGAGAAGGCAAATGTTATAGGCAATTTTTTCCCTCTCTCTCAAATTTTGGAGGATTTTAGAAATCACTATTCTAAGAGTAGCAGTAACTAACATTTACCTAGTCCTTTAATTTACAAAGTGCTTTCACCTTCTCTCAGCTGACCTTCACAAAAGTCCTATGAGGTGAGAAGAGGTTATAAGATTTATTATTATTAATTTGATACACAAATAACCTGTCAGTCAGAGAAGTTAGCTGATTTTCCTCAGGCTACACATCCTCAATGAGAAACCTGGGATGGACCTCAAATTATGTGTTTTCCATTATTTCATGCTGTGGGGGAAAATTTAATAAGTTTCTGTTGAAATAGTACTCAATTCTAATAAATCTAACATAGTAATGCCAATATTACTGAGACAGACATTCCAGATCTGGCTATGAGCATAGTGAGAACATGGAAGGTATACAGTGAATTAACTTGAGAACAGTTCAGAGTGCCAGCTTAGGAATCAACCTGGATCCCCTTCTTTCGGCTTCCCACACATACCTACCTCCTCCTCACTCCCCCCTTTCAGCTTCTCACACATGCCTACCTCTTCCTCACTCAGAACCTTTATGTCTGTGATCCGTTCACCAGGAGGGAATTCACAGTCACTCACCTTGCTGGTGCCTTCTCACCATCAGCTTTGTCCAAATACCATCTCCTCAGTGAGGCCTTCACTGGCCTCAATTTCTCTCGATCATACTACCCTGTTTTATTTAGGTACTTGCTTATGGTCTGTCTCCCTTCTTAGCATGAACTCCCATGAGGGGGTAGGAACTTGTGTTGTTCCATGCTGGTTCCCAAGTAGTTAAAATAGCCCCTGACACTTAGTAAGTACCATGGAAATTCTGGCTTACGAACCATGGAAAACCATGCTGGTTAGACTCACCTGAGATAACAGTTCTTCAGATCTCTTCTTCTCTTCTTCAAGTTTTTCTCTGGCAAGATCATTCTCTTCCTTGAGCCTCTGTATTTTCTCTGTTTTCTGCCTGTCATCTTCCAGATGTTGTACATCTGCCTTTCTTTGGGAACACAACAGTTGATTTAAATCTTGCACTTCTTTTTGGGTTTCTTCATATTTTCTTCGAAATTCACTCAGTTCAAAATTCAGCTGAGTTATGGTTTGTCGTTCCACCTCAAGATCTTCTTTTGCATTTGCCAAGAGATGGTTGTAATATTTTTGCTTTTCTTCTTGAAGATAACCTGTGACAAATATATCATGGCACAACTCACTTTACAAAATAGGTAATTTTCCTGAAGAAATGAATGTAACTATGTTTCTGTATCCATGATCACATTACTTCCTCATCCTCAAAAATGAAGACTCAAGAGACACAGGAATCATGGTTGATGTTTGACAGAACAAGAAACAGAAGTTCAGGTATACTACTTGAAGTTACAAAATGAATAGACAGAAGAGCCAGAAACAGTAATATAATTATTCTGGGGGTAGACGTGTCACTAATGTCTAAAGAAAAAAAAAAAAACAAATAGAGACATTAACACGTATACCACTTTGATAAAACACACAGAGAGAGAGAAAGTAAGCGAGAGAAAATAAGAGAGGGAAAAAGAAAAGAAAAATCATATTACTAAAGGAAAAAGCTACACTTCACCCATAATTAAAAACCTACTTTTAGGTGTAGCAAATTTATAATGGCAGTACAGTAGTAACTTTGTCCCCTGAGGGATAAACAGCTTTGAATTATCTCTAGAGACATTCCTTTCATACTGTTTTAGCATTAGCTTCATTTTAAATATTCAAATGTGAAGCTCTGGGATTATGAGCCTTCTCTTTCTGTAATTCAAGGCTCCAGAACCAGTAGGGCTGTCAGTCATTTAAATGAGTGCCTTGCACAGAGGTTTTTCTTTTCCTGGCTCATCACCTGGAACTGCTGAATCTATTTGTAAAATGAGAATAATGATCCTTTCTGCCCTTGCTCTTAGGCTCTTGTGAAACTCAATGGAGATCAAAGAAGCTGCAAAGCCTTTGGCAAACAGACAGCATCACTGATAAGAACTTCATCTCAGTTCTAGGGTGAGATTCAAATGATTGAAGCATCATGAATAAAAATGTAACCTTTCTCCTAGAGTCAATATGAATAACTGCTAAAGGAAAGCGGAATAACAAGATAGTCACTGACAAGGCTAGCACCAGGGGAAATGAAGCTGGAGCAGGACTTTGAAGGAGGGAAAGGACTTGCAAGGTGGAAAAAACCTAACGTGCCTGCAGAGCTGCAAGATCCCTTGACCCTGTGCCTCTCACCTTCTGGTGTCAGAAAACAATGGGAGATGAATTCAGAAGATTGGCTAAAATGGGATTTCTTACTTCAGGCCTAGCAGACCTGCTCTTGTTTTACTTTATAACACAGATCTATAAGAATCTAAATTTGATGCATCTCTCTTTTTGGCAAATGCCAGGCAGGCCAACCCAGAAGAACATTTTTATACCAGTACCTTCTGATTCAGTCTTTTTTGTCTGCTGCGGGAGTGTCTGAGGGGCTGTTTCCACTTTCTGTTCCAACTCAAAGATCTTTGCTAGAAGTCCTTTCACATAGACCTCTCGCTGCTGATCATACACAAGCCACTGCTGATTTTTCTCCAGAGCCTCAAAGTGAAAATGAAAGCAAATCAATAATCAAAACCCAAACCCTTCAAATGGACAAGGGACCACATGGTACGCAGTCTTTTCCAGCACATAAATACTTGATGGCTCATATCACAGAATGATTCCAGGCATCATTGTAAAGCTTCCCACACAGAGACATGTTCCAAGGCCACACACCTTCAGAATTCCAAATAACATGGCCAAGTCATATCCACACAGGGTTACGTTCATTTGTCTGCTGTCTCCTATACAGTTTGCCTCGTGTTGGTATCCACATCATTCTCTGTTAATAGAATGTCTTTGTGGCAGAGGTGGAGATGCAGTGCTCAGTACTCTTTGAGAGGTATTTCCACCCACCCGAGGGCTCTGCCTGGGGGCTCTCCAAGGGGTGGACAGAGACTCTGTCAGGCGTGCATCCTGCTCTGACAGTGCCACCTCCCCACCCCACCTCAATCCTCGGCCTTCCTCTTCCTTTCACAGATGTGGCTCCCCAGTAAACTGCACTGCTGACTACTCCATCTTGTGTCTGCCTCCCGGAGAACCAACTCAAATACCACCCCCTTTCTTTATCACCAGTTTTCATCTTTTAGAGCTCAAAAATCACCAAATGGAAACTTTCATCTAGTTTGTATAGGGGTTTAGGAACTCAGTTGTTATAAACACATACCTACATATTTTAAAAACTTATTTTACCAACCCTCATTAGCTTTTTTCTGTGTTTGCTGTTTCAAATAGATTGTGCATGGTTAGTCACTCAGTCGAGTCCTACTCTTCATGACCCCATGGACTACAGCCTGCCAGGCTTATCTGTCCATGGAATTTTCCAGGCAAGAATACTGGAGTAGGTTGCCATTTCCTACTCCAGGGGCTCTTTCTCACCCAGGGATTGAATCCGTTATCTCCTATGTCTCCTGCACTGCAGGCAGATTCTTTATATTAAGTTCCTTGAAGGGGCAGACCATGTTCTTCCAAAAGGACTCCCAGCTTTTGCATACAATGTATAGTTGAGAAATTATTTGAATGATGGACAATATTAATAAAATAAACTATGTCTATTTAAGTTAGCTGGTAACAGGGAAAGTGGTTTACTTTACCATTACTGCTCATGTTAATTTTTCATTTCAGTTACATCTTTCCTACAAGAACCTAGCTAAGCTTTACCAGCCACCTAGCAAAAGTTGGAAAATTTTATAAAATCTCATCTACATTTTCTGTGGCTCATTCCACCTGACAAGATATTAGCAAATATTCACAGAAGAAGCTACGTTAACTTCAGTGGATAAATCAAGGTAGCATATATGGACAGGGGTGTATAGGTTTATGAAAGGTAATATTTATTTTATTTATTTATTTTTGGCTGCATTGGGTCATCATTGTTGTGCATAGGCTTTCTCTACTTGCAGAGAGTGGGGCCTACTCTCTAGTTGTGGAGTGTGGGCGTCTCACTGCAGTGGCATCTTTTGTTGCGGAGCATGGGCTCTATGCTCTCAGGCATTAGTAGTTGAGGCTCACGGGATTAGACACCCTGCAGCATGTGGTATCTTCCCGGACCAGGGATCAAACCCATGTCCCTTGCATTGCAAGGTGGATTCTTAACCCCTGGGCCACCAGGTAAGCCCAAAGATTTATGAAATTTTTTAGTGAAAAATTCTATTGATATTTTGATTTTTAACTGGGACTAATTGATATATACTCTGATTCTAACTCTCACTGGTCTTAACCATTGGATCCTTGGAAATTCAGTCAAAGGCAAAGCCAAAGGAGCCTGCCAGGGCTGTACACAACTGTATAAACACCTCCCGTTCACCCATACCCCTGTTTTGCCAGTAGCAGCAGGACAGAAATTCAAGTTGAAAGCTAGCAAAGAAGATTTGCCTGTGAGTAGTAGAAGGAAAGCAAAGTCTTGAAATGCTTATACTTTAGCACCAAAATGCAATGAGATTACAACTCTTCTCTCCTTTCCAATCTAGGTCTTCCATCCAAGAGCATGGAAAGTGAAAGTGAAAGTGAAAGTCGCTCAGTCATGTCTGACTCTTTGCGACCCAAGGGACTATATACTCCATGGAATTCTCCTGGCCAGAATACTGGAGTGGGTGGGTAGCCTTTCCCTTCTCCAGGGGATCTTCCCAACCCAGGGATTGAACCCAGCTCTCCCACATTGCAGGCGGATCCTTTACCAGCTGAGCCACAGGGAAGCCCAAGAATACTGGAGTGGGTAGCCTATCCCTTCTCCAGAGGATCTTCCTGACCCAGCAATCAAACAGAGGTCTCCTGCATTGCAGGCGGATTCTTTACCAACTGAGCTATCAGGGACTGCCCCCTTTTTGTTCTATGTTTCTGGAAGGCTGAGGAAGTAAGTCTTAATGACTACTTGTGTAAAGAGAACATGCACAGCTAAATCTAATGTCACAGGTGTAAAATGTTAAGGGCCCCAGAAGGAGGTACACACACTGATGCTAAAACCCCTTCACCAATGGCCAAGCTCATTGGTACTGAGCCCTCTGCCTGTGCCACTTGTGCTGACTTGCTTAACATGAAAGTGTGAGTCACTCTGTCATGTCCAACTCTGCGACCCGGTGGACTGTAGTCCATCAGGCTCCTCTGTCCATGGGGTTCCCCAGGCAAGAATACTGGAGTGGGTTGCCATTTCCTTCTCCAGGGGATCTTCCTGATCCAGGGATTGAACCCAGTTTTTCCACACTGCAGGCAGACTCTTTACCATCTGAGGCCCCAGAGAAGCCAAGACTTACATGAAAGTGAAACTCGCTCAGTCGTGTCTGACTCCTTGTGACCCCATGGATTGTAGCCTGCCAGGCTCCTCTGTCCATGGAATTCTCCAGGCAAGAATACTGGAGTGGGTAGATGTTCCCTTCTCCAGGGGATCTCCCCAACCAGGGATCGAACCCAGGTCTCCCACATTGCAGGCGGATTCTTTACCGTCTGAGCCACCAGGGAAGCCCAAGACTTATCTACCCCCACAGAAATACCTGCTTGAGCAGTGGTTCACTGTTGGATCTTGGTAATTTGGGGATTTATAAATCCTCACTTGGAGGCTGATTTCCTCATCAAGAACAGTGAGACGAGACACAGGCCACGACCAATAGCTTTAGGTCAATTAATATAGTGATCGCTGAATATTTTGAGGCAAAATAGCTACAGCTAGTAAGTTCAGTTCAACCTCTTCTTCAACCCCCCGAAGTGCTAAGTTGTTTTAATGATATTAATAACAGAATATTTTAACACTCGCTGAAACTGAAGCTAGGTTCCTTTCAGTTCAGTTCAGTTGCTCAGTCGTGTTCGACTCTTTGCAACCCCATGAATCGCAGCACGCCAGGCCTCCCTGTTCATCACCAACTTCCAGAGTTTACTCAAACTCATGTCCATCGAGTCAGTGATATCATACAGCCATCTCATCTTCTGTCATCCCCTTCTCCTCCTGCCCTCAATCCCTCTCAGCATCAGGGTCTTTTCCAATGAGTCAACTCTTCGCATGAGGTGGCCAAAGTACTGGAGTTTCAGCTTCAGCATCAGTCCTTACAATGAACACCCAGGACTGATCTCCTTTAGGATGGATCTCCTTGCAGTCCAAGGGATTCTCAAGAGTCTTCTCCAACACCACAGTTCAAAAGCATCAATTCTTCGGTGCTCAGCTTTCTTCACAGTCCAACTCTCACATCCATACATGACCACTGGAAAAACCATAGCCTTGACTAGACGGACCTTTGTTGGCAAAGTAATGTCTCTACTTTTTAATATGCTATCTAGGTTGGTCATAACTTTCCTTCCAAATTTTGGAGTCCAAAAAAATTAAGTCTGACACTGTTTCCACTGTTTCCCCATCTATTTTCCATGAAGTGATGGGACCAGATGCCATGATCTTAGTTTTCTGAATGTTAAGCTTTAAGCCAATTTTTTCACTCTCCTCTTTCATTTTCATCAAGAGGCTTTTTAGTTCCTCTTCACTTTCTGCCATAAGGGTGGTGTCATCTGTCATGACATATCTGAGGTTATTGATATTTCTCCTGGCAATCTTGATTCCAGCCTGTGCTTCTTCCAGCCCAGCGTTTCTCATGATGTACTCTGCATATAAGTTAAATAAGCAGGGTGACAATATACAGCCTTGACGTACTCACTTTCCTATTTGGAACCAGTCTGTTGTTCCATGTCCTTTAGGCTGACATTAAAATTGTCCACAATCTGCCAATTTCCATCCCTTCAAATCACAGCCTGACCTTTCCCCTTCATTGCTTCCTTGTTGTCTACACAATAACACACACCCTCTGTGCCTCTTCCCTTCGTGCAGAGTGCTCTACAATCCCTTCCTATGTTATCTGCCCACTTAAATTCCACATTACAGTAAGTTCCAGTGGGTCCAGGCTTATCTTTCAAGGCTCCTCACCGTAACTCTCCTCATCAAACTTCCCTCCTTCATAAGCAACTAGTGATTTTTGTGTCCATTGTCTACCTGGCATCTTATACTCATGAACTCTTGATTGCTTCCTGATGATACTTCTTATCTTAACTATACCTTGAGCCCTCTGACAGCTGGGCACAGGCTGTTTAGATATTTTATTTCACAGTTCCTTATTTGTGCTTCTGTACCTGGAAGCTGCCTGATAAATGTCTGTGAATGATGTTAACAACATGGGGTGGAGAAAATGCCTTCAAGAACCAGAAAGCCTTGTAGACCTAGACAGGAGTTCGAGAGAGTTCAGAGGAGGGACAAGAGGGCAGGAAGGAATCTAGAAGTTCCTTACGCACAGTAGAACAATACATTTAGTGATTCAAAAAGAAAAAAACACTTTCAAAAATCTATTACTAATTAACTAAGTAATGCATGAAAATGTAATCAAAATATTTTGTCATAGAACTACCATAACTATTTCTGTAGTCTTATAAGTGTATAATATGTATCCTTTGTGTCATAATTCATCCTTGACCTGAGAGAATTAATTATTATCAATGATTAAAGTGTGGCAGCCAGGAGGTATGACTTTTTATCCTTTAGGGCTGCCAGAAAAGAGATGGCATAAACACAAAGTTCTTAACAAAAAAGCTGCCTGGTGTAACTCAACTGAAGTAAAATATACGTGTGTGTGAGTGTGTGTATGTATGTGTGTGTTAGTTGCTCAGTTGTGTCCAACTCTTTGCAACCCCATGGACTGTATGTAGCCTGACAGGCTCCTCTGTCCATGGAATTCTCCAGACAAAAATACTGGAGTGGGTTGCCATTCCCTTCTCCAGGGGATCTTCCCAACCCAGGGATGGAACCAGGTCTCCCACACTGCAGATTCTTTACCATCTGATCCACCAGGGAAGCCTGATTTCAGTATACGTGCTGCCAAAGCAAGGATGAGACATTATTCTAAAGGGCCACATGATGGCGATGTTACTTCAATAAAGTAATAAACATTTCTTTACTCCTGATCTCACTGACTGTATCTACTTTCATTTCTTTATAGAATCAACAAAAAGTAGATTTGATAGTTTTCAGTGGATGTTGATGAGTTTTGCATCTTTAGAGTCCTCCTCACATTAGTTATCTCTTCCAGCTTTGTGTCTCTACACATTTGTTAGACATGCATTTATCATATTCACCCAAGTTATCAATAAAAATACAGAAATAGGTAAAGTGAAGCCATGAGGAATGCCATGAAAGCTCTTTCTCCTGCTTTGGCAGGGATCCATTAAATATTTCCTTGGGCAAAAACTCTAACATAGATTGAAATGTTAGCCTATATTGAAGGAAGAAAAAATGTGCGTCAAATGACAAAATTGGAATACGGATGGTAGATTACACAGAAGTATTATGCCCATGTTAAACTTATTAAAGTTGATATCTGTATGGTGGTCATGTAACAGTATCCTCATTCTTAGGAATATACATTGGAATATACAGGCTGAAAAGGCTGTAGATATATGCAACTATTTTATGGTTCAGAAAAAATATTATGTTTGTGTGTGTATGTGTATGTGTGTGGATGGGGCGGGAACTGAAAGAGAAAGTATAAAATGGGATAAAATGCTAATGAGTTCAATTTTGGTAAAGAACTTATGTGTGTACTATTTTCCATTCTTATAACTTTTCTGTAAATTTGATTTTTTCCAAATTAAAAATAATTATTATTTATCTTCAGTAATTCTATGTTTAAAAGTCAGATTTTTTTTTTTTTTTTGGCTGCCCCATGTGGCTTTATGGATCATAGTTCCCCGATGGTGGATCAAAACCATACCCCCTGCAGTGGAAGACTAGAGTCCTAACCACTGGACCACCAGGGAATTCCATAAAAATCAGATTTTTAAAATCAAGACCAAGAAATGCCTATTAAAACTGACATTTAGCTATTTGGTTTTAAAGTTACTGACACTGGATAATGATTACAGCATTGAAAGTGAATGTCACTCAGTCGTGTCCGACTCTTTGTGACCCCATGGACTGTCCATGGAATTCTCCAGGCCAGGATACTGGAGTGGGTAGCCTTTCCCTTCTCCAGGGGATCCTCCCAACCCAGGGATTGAACCCCGGTCTCCTGCATTGCGGGCGGATTCTTTACCAGCTGAGCCACAAGGAAGCCCAAGAAAACTGGAGTGGGTAGCCTATCCCTTCTTCAGGGGATCTTTCCAACCCAGGAATCGAACCAGGGTCTCCAGCATTGCAGGTGGATTCTTTACTAACTGAGCTATCAGGAAAGTGATTACAGCATTAACACGATGTAATTGTTTCAAAATATGAGCCAGACCTAAATGACAGCTGAGGAATGATATGGCTTAGCCCTAAGAAAAGTAAAACAGATTTTGAGGACTTATTTTAGCCTAACAAACAGATTCTTAAAACCGGTGGGCAAACTTCTACAGGAAGTTTTGTGGGAGCTCTGCAGAGGGTATAAGACTAGAATGCTGAGTCCTATAGACTTAGGAGTGAGATTTCTCTTTCCCTGCTCCTCAGTCTTCCAACTAAAATTCTCCCCCTGGTCTGAAAGATCTGCTGAGATCCCAAAGGGATAACCAGAGCTTGGCCACCTCTCACTCCTCAAGTGTAAGTTAATGGTTCTCACATGGTGGTCCTCAGACCACCAACAGTAGCAGCAGCACCTGAAACTTCTTGGAAATGAAGACTCTCAGGTTCTATCCCAGACTAATCGTCATTACATAAAAATAACTTTAGTTGATATTTGAAGCAGTTAGCACTGAGAAGCCTAAAAATTACACATGGGTTTAAGAAAACAGCATCTATTTTCAGGCACTTTGCTAAAAGAGACATTATAAAATTCAAGAAACTTCACCAGATTCCATCTAGTCATTCTTTCCAATTATCTAAATGCTGGGGATAATATATGACATACAAAAAAACTTATTTTGATAGTTCTTTAAGAATTGTGTTTCTTTTTTATTTTAGTTACCTCTAGGTAAATTACTTTGATAAGGGTACTCTAGAACCCAGTTATACAGACACTAATGGATTTAAATTCTTTTCTTGAAAATCAAATAGGCCTCAAGGTATGCCTGCTATGTGAGATAAAACAGGACTCTTAAGAGCATACTTAGATCAGGGTAGACATGCCAGTAATATTTCTGGAAACACAGTATCTACCTATTGACCCAATAATTAAATCAAGAATTTCATACTTCGCATATCTAATCTTAAAATTTGAAAAAATACACTGTGACCACTAGTCCTATGTCCCCAATTTATTTAATTTTCAATGCAACCCACCAATCCATTTAAGATATAAGTTTGGAAAATACAGCTAACCTCATATCCAATTCTAGGAAAAAGAAATATTAAATACACAAAGAATGTATTTCCTTTTCAAACTAGGAAAGCAAATACTGTTTCCAAGGAAATAATTTCAAACTAAAGAGGACATCTAGCATGGGTAAACAAAAAGAAAAAACAATACATATTAAATTACATTATTATAATAAAATAGTTGAGCAAATTAGATTTAAGTGAAAACAGGATATTGTTCAGTTATTTGGTAGAAATGGATGATTTCCAAGGTTTTCTAGCCTAAAGAGACCATACTTAGAGGAACTGGCCCTCTTAAAAGTCTGGAAAGAGACTTAAATGTGGTAACCCAGAGAGATGATCTCAAACCATTCATTTCTTCGTCTCCTCAAAAGACTTTTTTCAAGCTACAGCATTACTGTTGTCAATTTCCATGAAATTTAATAATAAAGGAATTAGTCCTCTTTAGCCATAACTTAATAAAATAAAAACGAACTTACATCTTTCAGCTGTACTTCCATTTCATGAATATTACTCATTGATGAATTGAAGCAACTTGTAGCCACAGTCTGTAAGTAAATCAATAGTAGTTAACATGATAATTTAAGAACATAAGTTTCCTCATTATACTTACCTTCATAATAAGACAGTATATTTCACATACATCCCCAAACCCAGAACTGGTACATGCCAGGTGATGAGTAGCAGTGTGGAATTAGTCCTGGAGTCCTGGAGGCCTCCTAAGCAGATTGGACACACTGAGATTTCATATCTAATTTGATATCTGAGGTCATCTGGACCCCAGAATCACCAGACTAGCCCTCAGTGGATATGAACAGCCCTGATTTTCACCAGGAAACAAAACCAAGCCACTGGCCTATTTAAATGAAATCTGGAAAATATTAAATTGTCAAATAAAAGATAAATTTTGTTTTCTAGAATCATATTTATATTCAACATTAGCAATAGTATTAATTAGTATTCATTCATATAGAACTCAAAATATAATTTGTCTCCTCTTTTTTCTTCATTTTTTCAGAGGCAGTAAAAGAGGGGAAGTAGATGGTAAGTTGGTGGCTCAAACACTCAAGAATCCACCTGCAGGAGATCGAGTTTGACCAGATTTGATCTCTGAGTTGGGAAGACCCCCTCCAGTATTCTTGCCTGGAGAATTCCATGGATGGAGGAGCCTGGTAGGCTACAGTCCATGGGGTCGCAAAGAGTCAAACACAACTGAGTGACAACACTTTCATTTTCCAGGTGGTAAGGTACCAAAGCTAGCCAACAAAGCTCATAAAAAGCTGCATTTCAGTCTTTTAACAGCTCTGAGTAAAGAGACTTGTGTAAAGGATGGCAAGAAAGCTCAAAATATATATTCTTTTCTCTAGAGATGCTCTTTCCCCCTCTCAATTTAGTCCTTCAGGTGGAAGGACCATGACAGAGATAGTTCATCACATTTCTTTCCTTTTATCCTGGGCACACTGCAAACCACATTTCCCAGCCTTTCCTGTGTTTAGTGAGGTCATGAGACTGAATTATGTCCAATGGAATGTAAGCAGAAATGAGATATGTCAATCCTAGGCCTAGACCCCACAGGCTAACCCAGTTCTTCACATGCTCTCTAGCCCACAGCTGTGTATAAAGGATCTGGTGGAGGACTGCACTCTGAGAGATGGGGAGCACTAGAAGGAAGGAACCTGGATCTCTGAATGATTCTGTGGAGCAAAACCTCCTCCACTCCAACCTAAAATAAGCTGTGACATGAGCGGAAAGATAATCACTTGTATAAGACTCTGAGATTTGGAGGTTGGTTGTCAGGTGATTAGATATGCTGACTAATACAGAAATTAACAGTGAGTATCCCACAGTAATTATATGAATACATTTTTAAAATTATCATTTCTACCAAGATTTATATTTCCATCTTCAAAAGTAGAGAAACTGATTCTTGAGCTTTAAGTAAAAGTGAAAGTGAAGTCGCTCAGTCGTGTCCAACTCTTTGCGACCATATGGACTGTAGCCTGCCAGGCTCCTCTGTCCATGGGATTTTCCAGGCAATAATGAAGTGGGTTGCCATTTCTTCCTCTAGGGGATCTTCCCGACACAAGGCTCAAGCCCACATCTTTTGCATTGGCAGGCAAATTCTCTTAGAGTAGGAAGCCCCACTCTAAAGGGGAGATAAAGTACAAAGACCCTTAACATCACTGAAGCATTTATTTGAAAGCAATAGATTTTCTTCTGTAAGTAAGTAAGTTTTGGTCACTCAGTGGTGTCTGACTTTTTGCAACCCCATGGACTGTAGCCCACCAGGCTCCACTGTCCATGGGATTCTCCAGGCAAGAATACTGGAGCGGGTTGCCATTCCCATCTCCAGGGGATCTTCCTGACCCAGGAATCAAACCCAGGTATCCTGCATTGTAGGCAGATTCTTTACCATCTAAGCTACCAGAGAAGTGCCCTTTCTTTTGTAGGTAGTGTTAATAGCTGTAGTATTAGTATTAATTCACATGTCTAAATTTTCAAGAAAATCAAAGGTCTGATCAATAAGAAACTATTTATTTAGCACTATGGTGGCTCAGATGGTAAAGCGTCTGCCTGCAATGACTTGGGTTAGATCCCTGGGTTGGGAAGATCCCCTGGAGAAGGAAATGGCAACCCACTCCAGTATTCTTGCCTGGAGAATCCCACGGACAGAGGAGCCTGGTGGGCTACAGTCCATGAAATCACAAAGAGTCAGATACAACTGAGAGACTTTCACTTCACATGTCAGGCACTCTGCTAGGTTATTCACATATATTATAACATTTAATCTCCAGTACTCGTATCCTCATTTTACTGATGTGGAAACAGATTTAGGAGAGGGGTCTGGTGAATTCTAGCACTGTTTCTAAGGCTAGAGAGGTTAAGGAATTTGTTTAGACTCACACAGCTAGCAAGTGGAATCTGAATTCAGAGCTGCCTACCCATAAATCCCTGCTCTTCCTACTATACTAATGACTCTAAAACACAAGAAAGGAGAAAAGCATACTTGCTATTTTAATTGGGTATCTCAAATATGAAAAATAACCAAAAAAATGAAGCCATTGTTCTCACAATACAAACTAAAGAAAAAAAGAATTCAACAAACTCTTCCTGGCTATTGTAGATACACAGCAGAGTCTGTATTCTGAATACTCCCCTGGGCAAAACAATGGTATGGTCAGTGGAGGGAGCCATATTACCTATTTTTGCTTATAGAGAAGAACCAGACTATGATTAAAAAAAAGAAAAAGTAAACCTGTTAGTATACTATACTGTTTCACCATTTGACAAGCATGTTTTAACAAACCCATTCTTCTTAAGAATTACAAACTGTATCAGAAAAGACAAAAAAAAAAACAGGTTTTAAAGAAATTAGTACCTGTGATAAATGAAGTGTATTGGCTTTGCCTTCAAGTTCAGCAAGCCTTGCAGTTGTAGCAGACAACTGTTTCTTCAACACATCTGTCTCTTCAGACAAGGATTTCAACAGCTGTTCTCTTCTTTCAACTTCCTTTGTTTTCTCTTCCAGCTGTTCAAGCAATGCAGTAGTGCTGTGCTTGGCTTTTAGCTGGTCTCTGAGTCGCTGTATTTCTTTGTCCTTTTCTGTGAGGCGATAAACATTCTTCTCTCTCTCAGCTTCAAGGACTCGAATTTTCTAGATATAAACTAAGAAGAATCTTAGAACAAGGCCAGGTCAAACACAAAAATAAACAGTACATTACAACAAGTGTGTAGGAAGTATTTATTATGTATCAAGTCAGCATTATACCAGATACCAGGACCAAAAAAATGCTCAGAGAGCTCATAGAGAGTTAGACCAATACGTTTATGCAATATAAGTGCTGTGGTTAAGATATATATAAAATCAGTGGGACATGGACACAGAAAGGAGAGACCACTTAGAAAGCTAAAGAAAAGCTGGCTCTCACCTGAGTATCTGCTAATCATTCTCCCATCATGCCAATTCTAGTCATTTTAATGGCTAAAAGTTGAGTCACACAAAGAGATACATGCTCGCTGATGAACTTGAAGCAACAGAATTCAGATATTACAGAATGTTATAGCTGTATAAAAGCACATTCATAAACCTGCTTTTTGTTAATAAACGATTTGAAAAAAAAAAAAGATTTGGTATCAAATCTAGAAGGTGAGCTTCAAGGGAGTGTTCAACATTTTCAAGGATTGGAAAGTTAAAGGCATGTTAGTTAAACTCTTGCTGGCAAAAGGGAGAAAGCACTAATATAGAGATGATATAAAAAGTAAGTAAAATGGCTTTACATGCTGACAAAGGGAAAAAAACTTAAAACCAAAAACTCACATTTGAGGGTGGGCGGGAAAAATAGTTGTTCAAATAGAGACGGGGACATAGATTTGGATGGTTGTGTGAAAATGATGAGGGGATTTTTAGTTGCCTACCAGCTTAAGATAAGACAGTATTATGACACAGTTACCAAAGAAGCCAATACAATTCTAAGATTTCAGAGAGTACAGCACCAGATTAGGGGAAATAATAGTACTGTTTCCATCTGTGTTTGTGACTGTGTGCAATCTGGAAGCATTAATTCAAGAGGGACATGAACACCAGAAAAGTGACAAGGATGAGAAAAAGCCAGTAAAGCTGAAGAATATGGGGCTGGCCTATAGATATGTAACAGGAAGCAAGATTTCCTTGTATATCTGCATGCATGCATGCATGCATGCTAAGTCACTTTAGTCGTGTTCAACTCTTGGCAACCCTATGGACTGTAGCCAGTCCGGCTCCTTTGTCCATGGGATTCTCCAGGCAAGAACACTGGAATATCTTTCCACGCCCTTCTCCAGGGGATCTTCCCAACCCAGGGATTGAAACCCTGTCTCTTCAATCTCCTGCATTGGCAGGTGGGTTCTTTACCACTGGCGCCATCTGGGGAGCCTTGGACACCTGAAAAGCTCTCAATTGGATAAAAAAAAAAAAAAAGATTTGTTCTGTGTAGCTTTAATGGACATAGCTAGAACAAACTGGTAGAAGTTATAGAAAGTTTAATTTCAATTGATTATAAAGGGATTTTGACAGCCATTGCTTGTCAGAAGTAAAATGAATCGGAAAGAGAGCTCTCAGGAAAGCTACTAGATTCTTTCACCAGATTACAAAATAATCTTTATGTCTAAGAATTGGTGATAGATCATTTCTCCATGCTTGAATAAGAATTCAGCTCAATATGTGTTTAAAAAAATAATAAATCATTTGGTTTTATGATGTGCCTTATAAAGTAAAATTTAAAGAAATCCAATGATATTATTTAGTATGGATCATTTGTTTTCTAACTATGAAAAATAAAAGTACTCTTGCAAAATAAATTGAACTGATTAAACTTTAAATCACTCCAGTTCTAATATTTCTAAGTCTTTTTCAGACTATGTCATAACAAATTGTAAATTAGGGAAATATAGTTTAACAGAACACAAAATGCTGATATCTGTAATGATTTTACCTTAAAAAAAAAAAAAACCTGAAAACAAAAATTACTTGTAAAGTAGCCAAAATACATGATTAAATGGGTTTTTAAACCTTCATGCTAAAATCTAAATCCCAAAGGTGACATGATTAGATTTGTTGTTTACATTTACTGAACATAAAAACTAGATTATATCATATACTTTCTCATCTACCATAGTAAAGCTTACTACAGTTTAAAAGGTCTTACCTCCAAAAGTTTGTGTCTGTCTTTATCAATCAGCTTTCCTTTTCCACTTGTTATTTCATCCACTGATGTTTTTAAAGCTTCAATTTCTCCCCTAAATTTTTCTAATGCAGTTTCTGATTTGGAGTTACTAGGCTTTGGTCCCCATTTACTTTTAATTAAATCTTTGGGATTTCTGGAAGACATCTCTTAAAGTGCCTGTAAAAAGAAATCTGAGTTTACAAGGTCAAATGTCAGGTTTGAAAAGATCTAATAACCTATTTACTAAACAGAAGAACCTTTCTATGTAAATAGAAGTGATACAGTGGGGTATGGCTTCTAGCTTGCTAACAACAATATATATATATTTTAAATCTGGGTGGTAGATGCATGGAGGTATTGAATATGTCAACCTGTACGTCTGTGTTTGTGCAGGATTCTTATGTGTGTCATACTTCAATAGAAACGCTTCATTTAAAAAAAAATAGAGGGATAACCAATAATTAAACCGTTAAATGAAACCTGAAAGTTAGATCACAAAGACAAACTTTACTCCAGAATAAAAAGCCAATGACAAATAATATAATTCTGAATATCTGGACATTGAAACATCATTACCTGACATAATGGTGCATCCTCTGTTTTAGAAGATATGCCTAGTTCAGTTCTATCTTAACTGTAATGTTCAGAAAGCACAGTGGGCAGAAGTGAGAAAAATTCAGTATGAGGCATTTATAGGAAAAGGAGACCAAATATTCAAAGAATTCAGGAATGGCAGGAATTAAGAACAAGTACGGAAAAGTTTTGTTGCCAAGTCATGTCTGACTCTTTTCCGACCCCATGGACTAAGAGCCTGCCCAAACTCCTCTGTGCATGGGATTTCCCAGGCAAGAATACTGAAGTGGGTTGCCATTTCCTTCTTCAGGAGTTCTTCCCGACCCAAAGATCGAACCCAAGTCTATACTGAGCACGTAATAAAAGTAGCTTTAATTAGGGAGGTTAAAAAGCATTTTCCCACCTATGGATCCCAAAATAAAATAATAATAAGGTAACTAAGGAAGCCAGAGGAATATGATACTATTCATGCATTCAAAAAATACTGGAGAACCTAATATACCAGGCAGCATAATAGGTGCTGGGTAAAAACTGGCTGAAAACAAGAATGAAAGAGAGATATGTCCCTTACATGACAGAACTTTCAATCTAACAGAGGAGGCAGGCAATAACAAGGAAACAAATATAGATCCTCAAACTGGAAAACAAATGTTATCCAGTAAAAGAAAAGTACAGTGATAAATGATACAAATAAAAGTAAGGGAGACTTACTTAGACGCTGAGGTGGGGAAGGCTTCTCTATGAAAATGACCTTTAGGGTCACCCTGTATGTTATTGTTTAGTTCCCTAAGTCCCCGTGCCACTCTTTTGCGACCCCATGGACTGTAGCCCACCATGCTCCTATGTCCATGAATAATTTCCCAGGCAAGAATATTGGAGTGGGTTGCCATTTCCTTCTCCAGGGGAAATCCCCATCCCAGGGATCGAACCTCGTCTCCTGCATTGGTAGGCGAATTCTTTACCACTAAGCCACCAGAAAAGGTTAGCCCTGCCTGGATTTTTGTCCATTCTAAGGTGAAAGATTAAGATACCTAGCAAAAGGCACAAAGCATCTACTACAGGCCACGTCTTCTACAAGTGGAGGCAAATCTACAAACACCTTCACATAAGATCTCCTGTGGGAAGAGAGGCAAAGAAAACTGCAAAAACAGGCACCCTTTTCCTCACCTCTGAGGTGAAGATGTTTGTAGAATAGACATGAAAGTGCTTGTTAATCCGCAAATTGCTGTACTAAGGAAAGGACGTGGCCAAGTCACCAGAACGCCCTGCGCTTGTATAAAAGAGGATGGTAATACTCACGGGCAGAGCTGAAAGCGGGGATCCAATCGGCGACGGTCTCCCGGGGACAGGCACAAAGTGAGTGCCAGGGAACGGCCACTGGCTCCAAGGTAGGCAGAGATTGAATCCCAGCCAGCGCGATCTCCCACTGACCCCGCCTCCCCCGCGGTCACACCCGGCTTCAAGGCTGCGGGTCCTGGCCTCCTCCGCCACCCTCCGCGGTCACCTCCCCGCAGCCAGCCAGCACCAGAGGCGAAGCGCTGCGCTCGCGTCGGCCCAGTCACACCCTTTGGCGCGGGAGCTGCTTCCGGGAGTTTGAATCCCGCGGCTGCGGGGGGCACGTCACTGCCGGCGGGGGCGAGGCTCTCCGATTGGCTGCGGCCTCCGGGGGCGGGGCCTGGAACCTGAGTGGGAAAGGAGTGCGGGATGTAGCTGGGCTGCGGGTGCAAGGGTGGGGCTGAAGGGGAGAGGACGGTCCCCAGGCCGGGAAGGCGTCTCCCGGATCCGCAACGTTTTCTGGGACTTTGACAACGCTTTTCTGAGGTCTCAGACTTCAACTCAAGGTTTCTTTGTGAAGAACTGATTTGTGTTTATCTGCTTTGGGGCTGAAGCAAATTAGAATGCTGAGAGAGAGAAATCCAGTGACTGAGAACTGGAACTAACTCGTTCTGCGTCCTTGAGCTTGATTCTCCCTTCTGAGTACCAATTTCGCCCTCTATGAAATGGGAGAACTCCACAAGGGGGCACAGCCTCCCTGTTTTCCTCTGGGGGTGAGCCTTCATCCTGCCAGAAATCAGGGTGGAGCCATGTGGAGTGTAGCAGGTGGACGGATTGATAGGCACACCCAGTTTGAATGCTGAGATTAGAAGCTTTAGAGGAAGCGAGCTAGGCAGGCGTTTGCTCCAGATTGCTGCCCTCTGGCTTGGTATCTATTGGTTACATCCGGGTCATGGTTACCTGGACTTTGAAGACTTCCTCTCGCTGAAACAAACGGGCTCAGAGCGCGTTTGGCAGGTCCTGACGTTCTCAGACCAAGCATAAACTCTAGAGAAAAGGCTACAGTGGCAAACCATCCTCGGATAGTGTCATACAAGGGTTAAACTCTGGATTAGAAATGAGTTTAGCCTGACTGCCTCTTACTAGCGGTGTGATCTTGAATAAATTATTTAAGCTCTCCGAGCCTCAACTTCTTGATTTGTAAAATGGTAGTAATATCTTTTTTTTTTTAATTTTTTAATTTTTATTTTTTTTTATTAGTTGGAGGCTAATTACTTTACATCATTGCAGTGGTTTTTGTCATACATTGAAATGAATTAGCCATGGATTTACATGTATTCCCCATCCCGGTCCCCCCTCCCACCTCCCTCTCCACCCGAGTAATATCTACTTCATAGGATATCTACTTCATGTGCATTAAATGAGAGAATCCATGTGAGGTTCATGGTGTTTCGTAAGTACTCTACTGATGTCAGCCATTATTACATAAAAAGCAACAAATGAAAGTCATTCAGTCGTGTCTGACTCTACGACTCCATTGACTAGACAGTCCATGGAATTCTCCAGGCCAGAATACTGGAGTGGATAGAGGTTCCCTTCTCCAGGGGATCTTCCCAACCCAGCGATTGAACCCTAGTCTCCTGCATGGCCAGTGGATTCTTTATCACTGAGATACCTGGGAAGCTCCACCGACCCTCCCCGCCCCCAAAAGCAACAAACTCCTATGTTAAATAGAGTGGCTGAGGAACCGTGTAGAGAATTTTAAAGAATAAAAGAAAAGGCAAGAAGATAACATTTGGTCTGTGCTTCCAAGGAGCTCACATTTCTGATGGAAAAATTAGAATCAGGCTCTTTCATATCTGTTGTATTAATCTATCAAATGGAATTAGGGTGGGAGGAAGTTGAGGCAAACGATTAGTGAAGCTGTGAATGCTATGCATTGCCTAGAGTTGACAGCAAGGGCAAAATTAGTCTCCCTAGAAATTTATAAATGTCTTGGATGAGAGAAAGATCTGCCTGCTCATCTTGGTGTCAAATGGGGAGAGAAAAGACAGGAAGTGGTGGCAACTGTGTGAAGAGGGGTGGCACCTGATAGACAGAAGTCTGGTGCCTCGGCCTGCTGGGCCAGACACCACAGTTACACATCTGCTCCCCAGGGCCCCTTCTTCTGGCAGGAACTTCCCCCTGTGACTGGGGACCCCTGAGGAAGAGGAGTAGGCAGGAAGCTCATTGGCCTACCTATCAGTTGATTTCTCAACAGAAACTCTCCAAGCCAGAAGGAAATGACACAGTATATTTAAGGTGGTGAAAGTGGAAAAGCTACAACCAAGAATATTCTACCCAGTAAGACTCTCGTTCAGATTTGATGGAGAAATCAAAAATTTTCCAGACAAGCAAAAGTTAAGAGAATTCAGCACCACCAAACCAGCTTTACAACAAACACCAAAGGAACTTCTCTAGGAAGGAAACACAAGAGAAGGAAAAGACCTACAGAAAATAAACACAAAACATTTAAGAAAATGGTAATAGTATCATACATATCAATAATTACCTTAAATGTAAATAGATTAAATGCATCAATCAAAAGACATAGACTGGCTGGGTAGATGAAAACATGTGCATGTATGCACTTCCACTTACCACATCATTCTGCTTGACCCCTCAAATTGTATGTAATTATTTTATATTGTTAGGCTAATCATGTTCCCAGTATGGTTTACAATTGTAATTATTTTTATTTTTTGTCTGGCTACTAATTGTGAAAAGTGATAAACATCTTTTATTATTGTGATTGCTGCTGTTGCTGCTAAGTCGCTTCAGTCATGTCCAACTCTGTGCGACCCCATAGATGGCAGCCCACCAGGCTCCCCCGTCCCTGGGATTCTCCAGGCAAGGACATTGGAGTGGGTTGCCATTGCCTTCTCCAATTATTGTGATTATGTAACTATTATTCATTTCATACCATTGTATCATGATTGGTCAACAGGAAAACAATAGAATTCTATATCACTAAAACTACCATTTAATAGAAAAACTTGTAATCACTTTTAAAATCCAGATGCATATCAGAATTATCTTGAATTTTTTGAAAAATACAAATGTCCAGGTATTGCTTTTTTTTCTCCAAAACTCCAGATATGTTTCTAATGAGAAGCCATGTTCAAAAACAACTGGACTTAAAAAAAAAACAACAACAACTGGACTATGTGATGATCTTTTACTTTTATCTAGTTGGTTTCACTGTTTCTATGTCATATTCAGTACTCTCATTTCATTTAGCGTATGTTTTCCAAATTCTCCATCTTTTCCTTTTTTTT